ATACACATATACATATACACATACACATACATACATACATATACATGTTCAATGAAGCTTGTCCCAGGGGGGAAATGATCATTTTAATTTGAAGTCAGCATAATCAAGAGATTCTGTTAATGCAGACCTTTGTTCCAGAGGAGGAAAGCTAGTTTCCATCAGACTCTCGGCATGTATGACCAGTGCTCATTACACTAGAGAATGTACACCCCTCAATTACCTTGTAATCACTGTTGTTGAAAGGAGCTGCTTGTTGGTCCCAGCTGCCCAGAACCGAAATAATCACATAGGAACTGTATTAATTAAATCACTGCTTGGCCCATTAGCTCTAGCTTCTTATTGGCTAACTCTTACATCTTAAGTTAACCTATCTCCATTAATCTGTTCATCTCCACGAGGTCGTGACTTACCAGCAAAGTTTCAGGGTGTCTGTCTCCAGTGGCAGCTCCATGGCTTCTCTCTAACTCTGCCTCCTTTCTCCCAGCATTCAGCTTAGTTTTCCCCACCTAGCTCTGTTCCCCTATAGCTCTGTTATAGTTCCTTTATTTATCAATGGTAATCACAGCACACAGAGGGGAAATCCTACACACTGTATCTATCAGTGGTAATCACAGCACACAGAGGGGAATCCTACACACTGTATCTATCAATGGTAATCACAGCACACAGAGGGGAATCCCACTCACTGTCACTGAGCATCGGCCGCCCATGTGTTCTTTTGTCTCAACTGTTTGCTTTTGCCTTCCTTGCCCTTTGTTCACAGTGTATCGTCACAGAAGACGGCCGTCAGCATGTGTATAAGAAACTCTGTCTGTGTGCTGGAGCTAAACCAAAGTTGATCTGTGAGGGAAATCCATACGTGTTAGGAATCCGTGATACCGACAGTGCTCAGGTAATGTCTTGTCTTAAGGGCGGGTCTACGAAAGGGAAAGAGGGTCCCTTGTGAATGCTGTGCTTCACTGATGTTGACGCCACACTGTCTCCGAGAGGCAGTGCCCACCCACCATTCAGAGGCCACAGAATGGTTGTGTTTTATTGTTGCCAGCTTCACTTTGGCTAATGATTACATGGTTTTAGCTAAAATTGACTCCTTGCTCTTTTGGCTGTGACACTCAAAGATACCAAGACCGTGCTTGGCCTTACACTTTACATCAACACACGTTCATCATTGTGTACTGGGAATATGAGATTTGCAGCTAAACAGTATAACAATCATTTCCCAGATTTCCCAGAAAAATTAATAATAATACTTCTAAGATTTTTGTGACTGTCAGAACTTGCTTGGCTTGTTGCTCTGCCCTGTAAGAAGCAAACCCTCCTGTACAGCTAACTTTCCATGAAACACAGCAAAAAATATTTTTTTCATTATGACAGGGCTTATCCGCTCTTGTTACCAAGAAGCTCTCTGGTTTCATCTCCACACCCAGCAAGGATGTGATTGCACTGCATTTATATGATCCATATTCTTTATAAAGTGGCTAAGGATTTTCTCCAGGCTGCTTATTCTAGGGTAACCACTCAGTGCTCCCCGAGTAGGGTTATTCTATAGTAACTACTCAGTGTACCCCAAGTATGGTTATTCTACGGTAACCACTCAGTGCACCCCAAGTATGGTTATTCTAGGGTAACTTCTCAGTGTACCCCAAGTATGGTTATTCTAGGGTGACTAATCAGTACCTGTGTGATGTGGGAAGTACTTCTGTATATGTGTTGCTTTTATTGATTAATGAATAAAGCTGCTTTGGCTTATGGCAGGGCAGAATAGAGCCAGGCTGGAAAAGATATATAGAGAGAGTAGGCAGAGTCACAGAGATGCCATGTAGCTGCTGAAGGAGGAAGACATCCCTGAACCTTACCAGTAGGCCACAGCCTTGTGGTGATACACAAATTAATAGAAATAGGTTAATTTAAGATGTAAGAGTTATTTAATAAGAAGCCTGAGCTAATAGGCCAAACAGTGTTGTAATTAATATAGTTTCTATGTAATTATTCGGGTCTGGGTGGCTAGGGTAGGAATGAGCAGCCTCTGGTTATATCCATGCATGGTTTAAATGTATGCTTTTTATCTCTGTGTCTGTGTTCTTTATTGAGCTTCTATAAGACCTGACCCTTTATGAGCAGCAAATTAAAACTTCAGGGTTTTGTCTTGTAGAATTTAAGCCAGTTTTAGTCAGTGATGTATGTTTTTAAGTGAAGTTAATGGTGGTAGTTACTTAGAAGGGGTAAATGAATTCTTTGTTCCGAAGTCACTCTAAAGCAAGGGACACCTGTATTTGTGAAGTGCCAGGAGGACCACAGGCTACTCTGAGTTCATCTTAATCATGAGGGAAGGTGGTACAAGAGGCATTGTCATGAAATGATAACATTTCTTGAATTAATGCTAGGAATTCTCTCCCTGCTACTCTTAAGCTTTGTATATGTCATGTCCCATATGTGTCCCATCATCCTGACACAAACACTGGGAGAGACAGGGACTCTTTTACTCTTTGTAGTGGACACCATAGGACATAGAAAGTTAAGTAGCTCATCCCAGGTCATCTTGTTAGGAGCTGCTAAGGCCAGTGACTCCTAATCCATGTGCCCTGAGTCTCAGTCCTGGGAGCTGTAGAAGTGGGGGACTGCAGGGAGGCCTGAAATGGAGCCTGCTTCTGACAGAGGTGGAGTCAAGCGCAAGGATGAGGTGATGCAGACAGCATCCCTTGCCGAGGTCCATGGGGATACAAAGGCAAGAGGTGCTGCAGTCACGGCCACCTGGAAGCAAGAGAGGCCATAATGCTAATAGGGAGGAAGTGTCCTGAGACAAGGGAGTACATTTTATTTTGTTGTCCCACTGTAAACTGTAAAACACCCATGTTTAGAATATTTTCAGTGATGCCTCTATTTTATCAAAATGCTGTCTGATTGTTTCTTCCTAACAGGAATTTCAGAAACAGCTTAGAAAAGCCAAGAGGATAATGATTGTCGGGAACGGTGGCATTGCGCTTGAGCTGGTGTAAGTGTTTCTCTAATACCACGGCTGCTGTGAGAACGATGATGCTTTGAGCAGCAAGAAAACACACCTTAAAGTCAAGAGAAATATACATACTTTCCCATATGTTTTCAAAGAGAAAACCCACTTGACTATTTAAGTCTGCAACTTGAGTTATACAGGATGTAGGATGTGTTTGACCTTGCTGGTCTGACTCATGATGTGTTCTCTGAGTGGGCACTGTCTAATAACCTACACGTGCATACCATTAGTAATGCACCATGCGTTACTCACGCATCACCTGTCCAGGTGGCGAAATGAAGGCGTAAGTCACGAACAAGGCAGCACCAGTTTGGAGTTATGATTAATAGGGTGTTATTTATTTAAAGGGGAAAAAAACTTACAGATCACAATCCCAGACAACAGCCATCTGCACAACCAGGAAGGGAGTCTAGTCTCCAGCGGAGCAGGAAGAGAAGAGAGTGAGCAGAGGAAATAGCCGCTTTTTTAAAGGGAGTGAGACCACGCCCCAATGGGCTGGTATCACAGCAGCTATTGGTTGGAGGGGCGGAAGGACCTCCAGCAACAGCGAAACCCAGCATTTCTCATGCTGATTAGAATGTGTGTTATTCCCAACTCTGGAGTTTTGGTCTGGAGAAATATTTGAGAACACATTAATACAAATGTTTTCATCTTAAGATACTTCAAGTTCCATAGACACAGAAATGTTCCTCTGAAAGCTGCATAGCAGACTCAGTTTCCTCAGCAGTTCCGCCTGTTAGCCATGGCTGACGAGAAGAGTAGATGGTTTTCATGCTAGAAAGTTTGGTCGATACCAACTTGGAATTAAAACAAATTTGAGTCTAAACTAGAAAATCGCAAGTATTCACGAATTCCATTCCAACTGCCAGCCTGGCTTACCTGTCCTTTAGAGGACAGCCACCCACTGGGCACCTGCGCGTGAGGATGGCCATCCCTCGGATGACTGTGGCAGTTGTGCTATGCAGGGAAACTAGGGTCCACCCAGAAGCTGAGGTGAGCAGAGAAGTGAAGGGATCGCACATGTTCTTCTAGCTACTTCCAGAAGCATCCAGTGGGTATCATTACTGTAACTTCCATTGGAAATATTTTCCTGCTCAGAATCTCACAGCATCCAACTCTTTCTTGACCTCATTTGGAGACTGGTGATTATTACTTGAGTTAACTTACAGTTCTGTATCTGGAAAGCTCTGGTAGCTGTAGGAAGGTCTCTTACCATGTTGCTCCTGATTCTGTGATCTGAGTCATCACTCATGATGAAAAGTGACAGGCAACCCCTCTGTTCTGTGCCATTGCATACTCCAGAGGCCAATGCTGTCCTCAGTTACTTCATCTTACCTTTCTCTCAGTTACTGCCCTGCTGATCTTCCAAAGGCAGTTTGATGCTGTCCCTTCTAAAGACACACAACAAATAATTTCCATAATTTCATAAAGTCATAATACCTGGAATGTATTTCTGTAGAGTGGTTTCTCAATTGGAAGTAGCTCCCTGTGTGATGGCACCATGCTTTGATATCTCACTGAGAGCCCTGTTAGCGTTACGGGGAGTGGATTAGTGGGTACTCTTGGGGGAGAGCTAGCCCAGGAGTCTCTCATGATTACAGATGTAATGTGGCTGCTAGTCAGTCATAGGGATGCTATGCCACATTGTTGTATGCTGTGACATTACTTCTAGAAAGAAGTATGAATGAAATAGGAAGGTTTCCAAATTATAAAAAGAAAAGCATTTCATAAGCATGCTTAAATGTGAGATATGAAATGTTACCCGCAAGTATGTTCTCTGCTTTCTTCTGATGAGCAATGCTATACAGCCTGAGAAAGACCAACTCAGATGTCCTCCCAGTAATCAGAAACTCGGTGACTAAGAGTGTTCCTTGGCCTGGTTGGGCACTGGAGTCTTACCCGTGTATCAGAATGTGACTTCAGGTATCGTGGAGTCGCATGCACTAAACCTTTGTCTATTATCTGGCTGTTGATTCATCTTGAAAAATCATCCTGCCAGCCTACAAATAAAGATGGCAGTACTTTGTACCATAACAATGGAGAAAATTGGGGTAACAAGATGGCTTAGCAGGTACAGCCCCCAAACCCATCCATATAAAGATGGAAGAGCTCATTCCAGTGTTGCCTTCTGATTTCCACATATACACCATGATGCATATACAGACACACGACAATAAACATTTTTAAGAGAATAGACTCCATAAAGTTGTACCAACTTCACATGCATGCAGTGACACATGCACCCACATACATGATGCACATGCAAGGGCAATGGAAGTTTTAAATGTTAAAGGATACATTATACTCTTTGTTGTAAAATCCAAGTGTCCTGTGGTAAGAGGGCTGTGTATCCAGTTTGTTTAAGATTGTCCACATATACATTAGTTTTACCATAACAGTTTACTGAATAGCAGCAGAAAGTCCTGCAAATTTTCCTGATTATCTGAATGATGATGTTCATCAGGGAGTGGGTGGAATGCACTCAGCATTCTTAGTGTCCAAACCTAGATAAATAAGGTGCCGGGAGCTTGGTTAGCTGGTGAATGGTGAGAGGCCAGCTTGCTTTACAAAGGCCTGTGTTTTTCCCTTTACATTCCTTATCTTTTTCTGAACAGGATCTCTTTAGCTAGATGGTCTGGGTGAGAGAATTTAAAGCAGGTGGTAGTTCTTTATAACTGCTTGAAGGTGTTACAAGCAAACCTCCTTCCAACCTTCCTACATGAGCATCTAGGAAAGTCACCAGACGAAGCAGTGTTTTCAGTGCCCTTAGGTCACATCATCCGTTCATACATACATACATACATACATAATGTACATACAGGCATACATACATACATACATACATCTGTCACTGCTTCTGTCACAGCCAGAAAGTACCCTAGGACCCTTGGAGTACATATCTATGGCTGTGTTGTCCACTGAACACTGAGAAGACGGTCATTGTGATGTATGTTATGTAGTACTCCGTACATGTCATCACTGGGCTCTTTCAGTAAAGTTGATAAACTTGCTTGAGTATGTATTCTACTTTAACTCTTGTTTGTTTTTTTAGACAGGGTTTCTCTGTAGTTTTGGAGCCTATCCTGGAACTAGCTCTTGTAGACCAGGCTGGCCTCGAACTCACAGAGATCCACCTGCCTCTGCCTCCTGAGTGCTGGGATTAAAGGCATGCACCACCGCCCAGCTAAACTCTTACCGTCCTTAAAGTGAACTACACTCCCCATTATAGTCTGTGCTTTTTACTTCTGCTGCACAGGACAGTCATTATTTGCTTGCAGAGATTTTTTTCCCCGAACTTTTCTACAGGAAATTGTAACATTCTTCCTAGGTATGAAATTGAAGGCTGTGAAGTGATTTGGGCCATAAAGGATAAAGCCATTGGGAATACTTTCTTTGACGCAGGTGCAGCAGAGTTTTTGATTTCAAAGCTCATGTCTGAAAAATCAGAGGCTAAAATTGCTCATAGAAGAACCATATACACCGTTGAAGGTAAGTGCAATATCTGGCTTGCTTCATTCACGGATGAAACTAATTTTTAACTATAAGAAAATTCAGTAAATAGTATTTAGGGGGCAGGAACATGGATATTTAATTCTATGTCTTTTTTTATTTTTTTATTATTTTATTACTTTAAAAAAAATACCAATCAAAATTCCCACTTCCCCCCACCCCGATTCCCTTCCCACTTCCTCCACATACCCTCCCCTCACTCCCCTCCTATCCTAAGAGAGGGTAAGGCACCCTGCTGCCCTGTGGAAAGTCCAAGGCCCTCCCTACTACATCTAGGTTGAGCAAGGAATACATCCAAAGAGAATAGGATCTCAAAAAGCCAGTACATGCAGTAGAGACAAATCCCAGTGCCATTATCATTGGCCCCTCAGTCTGCCGCAACTGTCAGCCACATTCAGAGGGACTAGTTTGATTCCATGTTCGTTCATTCCCAGTCCAGTTGGAGTTGGTGAGCTCCCATTAGCTCAGGCACATTGTCTCAGTGGGTGAACCCCTCATGGTCTTGACTTCCTTGCTCATACTGTCCCATATAAAATTTTCAGATTAGAAAATATATTGGGGGCTGGAGAGATGGCTCAGTAGTTAAGAACACTACAGCTCTTTCGGGAGACCCAAATTTGATTCCCAGCACTCACAAAGATGCCCACAACATCTTTGACCCTAGTTCTGAGGGGTCCAGTACCTCCTTCAGGCCTCCAACGGAACCAAGAGCACGAGTGGTAGACATATATGCAGGCAAAGCACCCACACACACAACAAAAATAAAAAGAAACATATAAAGGGTATGATGGCATACCCTTAATCTCAGTACACAAGAGTCAGTGGCAGGCTCTCTGTGCGTTCTGGGATAGTCAGGGCTATAAAGTAAGATCCAATCTCAAAACAAAATCTAAACAACTTTTTCTTAGTTATTTTAAAATGAAAAATAGACATTTAATACGCATAGGCATTTTAAATTAAGTGAAATAACCGGGCCATTTGCATCTTGTCAAACAGTTGCTACAATTGAGCAATGCCCAAGACTACTTTCTAAAAAATCCACTGAGAACGATACCCACTAGTTTATTTAATAGACTTCAAACAAGCTTTGGGCTCATAAAATTCTAAGTGGATTTTCTAAGTTTTGGAGAGGCTACAGATTGATGGAGTTTAGACTCTAATAGCTAATTTTCACACTCTTACATTGGCAAGTGTGTAACCCTGAGACACACTGGGTGCTGACACAGTGTCAGTGAAAGGTCACCATTCTGTCACTGTCACAGAACACTCAGTGCACAAAGCAGCAAATACAGAGACGTGCCACCTCGCTGCATGTCTGCCTGAGAATCAGGACGTTGCCCAAAGGCTCCAGAGATGACTGACTCTCTGGAGAGATGACTGACTCTCTGTCCAGCCATTTTAAAATCATCTGAGTTCATTTCTTAGGAATGAGAAAGGAAAACAGAACCAAAGCTAAAGTTGAAAATGTGGGCAGTGCCCTCGGACCAGACTGGCACGGAGGCTTGGATCTGAAAGGAACAGAAGAGGTATGTTTCTATCAACCAATGCCACCCATCCAAATGCCAAATCTCTGGGTCACCTGACTTTAAGTGTACTATGTAGGAAAGGTCTTCAAACCCACTGATCCAGATGCCCACCCAAAATAGCGAATATTTCCCTCTAACTGCGGAGCTGGAGATGTCTACAGGGATAAACCACAGTTCTCAGTCTTCTGCTAAAGGTCCCTTTGATGTTTGCAGCACCCTAACAAAGTGCTTACAAGGGGTTACTAGGTGGAGTCAAATAGGTCATATTTTCATTGAGTAAGTAGGTAACTTGCTTTTACTTAATAGATACTTTCAATTTTTTTAAGTTACAAAATTGCTGTCATTCAAATATTCCAAGAATACAAAAGTGTCTGTATTTGCACTGAAACCTTTTCAGGCTTTGGTGGGTAGAAGGGGAGCTGGCTAAACGGAGTCTAACTGGGGATAAGAATAGTGTGAAATCATTTTCTCCAGAATTCCTGGGACTTCTAAGTTTGCAGTTTTACCATCCATTTAAGAGTCCTTCAGCGAACACTGCTGCCTGCTGCCTCCCTGGCGTGAAGGAGGCGAGCTAGCCACACCGCAGTGAAAACCTGTAGAATTTCGTGGATTTCCAGATTGCCTCATCCACTTGCCACGTCATGCTTGGCAGCGCTGGGTGGATTCTGCTCACCTTTGCACACAGACTCTGAGAGGCGTATTTGGGAGCATCAGCGTGCTGTACTTATACTACGATATCCGTGTCTCAGCAGGCATTGTCTGGATTGTGCTGACCAGTATTCATTTTGTCCAGTTTTCACACAGTATTCACATTGAAACCAAATGTGAAGTCAAGAAAATCTACCTTCAAGAGGAGTTTACGATTATGAAGAAAAAGCCCTTGACTTTTCCAAAGGATCAGCATAAGTCAGTTACAGTTGATAAAGGTAAAAGAAAAAAATATTACTCCTTAAATTAATCATGATAAATAAATATATACATTTATTTATTTATGTATGTATGTATGTATGTATTTATTTATTTATTTTTGAGACAGGGTTTCTCTCTGCCTCCCTGGCTGTCCTGGAATTCACTCTGTAGACCAAACTGGTCTCAAACTCAGAGATGTACGTGCCTCTGCCCCCCCTAGTGGTAGTATTGAAGGCATGCACCACCACTGCCTGATGTTACATTTTAAACTCACATTTTCATATAAAAATTGGTTAAAAAAAAAAACCTTATTCTTCAGGCCCTTATTTCACTGCTCTTGGTTAAATTTTCTAATAAATTCCATGTTATGAAGCTTTCCATTTTATTTGGGTTCACAGTATTTGGACCATTACAACCTGACCTAGTGAGTTAGTCAGTATATCACAGACCAAAACAAAATAGAAGCTTTCATAAGTAACACAACTGTAAGTAACATAACTTTTAAATCAAATTTAAAATTCCGTGTTTGGGACTAAGTGCAGATTCCTGGTCTCATTATACACCACGGAAGAACTCCTCCAGGCACAGTCTGTGAATTATCAACACGGCAGTTAGGCGGCTAATGTTCTAGAATCTTCTAGTCTTTTCTAGGAAAAAGAATGGTAGAGTGGGGTTGTGGACAGTGAGGAGAAACATCAAGAAGAGTGGGATTAAATGCTGAGTGACATGAAATACCAATCAAATTGCTTCACAATTAAATTTAGAAAGTAATCATCAGTTTAAATTTACTGTTATGTTTCTGCCCACATCCAAAGGACTGTGTTTAGTCCCCTAGAGCACTGTGCTTTTGAAGCTGCCAAGCACAAAACAGTGTCATTGCGCTCAGCTGTCCCAGCCAGAGGACCTTCTGTAGTCAAGAGGTGTCCTAAAGCCGCCTGCCCTTTCTGTTTCTGTTCCGTTCACGCGATATTGAGAGTAACTGCTCAAGATGATTCTTGAGAACTGAATTCTCTTCTTTTTCTTTTAAGAAGTGTGGCCTGTGTATGTGGAACTAACCAATGGGAAGATCTACGGCTGTGATTTCCTTGTCAGTGCTACGGGAGTCACGCCAAATGTACACCCTTTCCTCCACGGAAACAATGTAAGGTGAATTCTGTCCACTTCCTAATCTTTATCATATCTACTTTTCAGGCATCATTTTAGTTAACTGTAACCTAAGATGGCAGCAACTCTTGATTTACAGTATTTTCTACTTAGCATCCCTAAATACTTACAATCCAGCTTAAGTATTATCTAAAGATGTAATGTCCAATTTGTTTATCTAAAGGTTGATGGAAGACTGCCCTGTATGAATTCTCAAAGAGTAAAGTTTACAGATCGTTATATTAGCATTTTAGCATTAGAAGTGCTTTTATCTTTCTGATCAGAGCTTGGTTAACATGTCCAAGCTTGACTTGCTTAAACTTCCTGTTTTTGTCATCCTAATGCTAATGACAAACTATTTAGTTTGATCTAGGAGAAGATGGTGGCCTGAAAGTGGATGACCAGATGCGCACGTCACTTCCTGACATCTATGCTGCTGGAGACATCTGTACTGCATGCTGGCAGCCGAGCCCAGTCTGGCAGCAGGTGAGCCTGCACCTATGACCATGTGTCTATGCAGTTCCCTGTGAAAACAAAGCAGTTGCTACCAGTGAACCCAAGTTTCTGTTCCAGCTTTTCTCCTCTTTAACTGGAAGGGAAGCCATCACTGGTGGTTTGCAGACAAGTAACAGATTCCCACTTTAAAGTCATTTCATATTGCAGTAGATGGAAATGTTTTTAATTAGAAAGAGTTGTGGGGTTACCTTTCTTTTCTGCTTGACCCCTCCAGGACAAATTATAACTTTATGTCATAATCTGATACAAGGGAACAATAGCTCAAAATAAGCAGATATCCCTTATTCTGAGTGATTTTCATATTTCTACATTCTGATTTGCATGAAAAACAATTAGCTTTATATCACCCACAATGCAGACTTAGGGGAATTTAAGGTTCAATGAATTCCTGTCAGGTGTATTCAACCCATGGCCGACAGGATGGCTCTGGATATGGCCCGGCATAAAACTGTTAATTTATTATGATGTGTTTGTGATACAGTCATGTTGACTGGTGTTCACTGTGACCACTAAAGATAGCACGATCTGGAACAAAGTCACTGGAAGTGCACATAAAGGAATTTCTAAGACTGAAACTGTGGGGAAGATGGAGTAGAGTGGGTATAAAAGCTCTTGTTACACAAGCCTGGAGGCCAGAGTTTGAGTTCACAGACTGTGTAAAAGCTGGAGTCATCATAAGCTACTATAACCCAGCATGCCTATTGAGAGTCAGGAGGCCAGCTACCAAACAGACCCCTCCTCAGAGTGGAAAGCAAGCAGGGACTCAAGTGTCCACTGACACTCATACACGCACATGGCATGCGTGCATTCACATTCATGCTCGCATGTGCCCATACACATGCACACACATGGATGATACGTTTTATTCAGATGATAACCAAAAGTAATATGAAGTACCATTCCCACTATTGCAGATGAGACTATGGACCCAGGCACGGCAGATGGGCTGGTATGCAGCCAAGTGCATGGCTGCAGCTGGTTTGGGACAGTCTAGCGACATGGATTTCAGCTTTGAACTGTTTGCTCATGTCACAAAATTCTTTAACTATAAGGTAAGAATACCCTTTTTGCTTGAAAGTATGGCAACTGTGGCTCTTTTCTCGAATAATTATGGTTTAAACTATGTTATCAAAAATGGGACTGGAAAGATGGCTTAGCAGTTAGTTATTGCCTATCTTGAGAAGATGTGAATTCAGTTCTCTGTTCCCACTTCAGATGACCACCTATAATTCCAGTTCCAGGAGGTCTAACACCCTCTTCTGGCCCCCATGGGTGCTTGCACACCCATGATACAATCACACACACACATACACACACACACAATCAGGAAAGAACCAGGAGCTCTGACAGATGTTTACCATTCTTAGTTCTCTTCCTTCTGAGACGGGTTTCTTTCCTAAACTAGACTTAAGAGAAAAGAGAAAACACACCTACACTTCTGAGGAAGGGTCTGGTTCAGTTGTATAGTAAATCTTTAAGCCATGACTCAGGAAAACGTGGTTCACTTTGTATGTGTAGACATCTACAACGTTTTTAAAGACTGGGTAGCATTATCATCCACATATATTTTCTAGTTTCAGTGTTAAAATATTAATGATGAGATTTTTAATGTGACTGTAGGTTGTGTGGCAATGTTATAATAATACAGAGTATGTTCATGCTATGCAAATGCTTTCTTTGGGCCCCTCCCACTGCGAGACTACAAAATAGTTTTTTCTGTTTAAGCTACTTGACCCAGATAACTGGACATTATGTTATTTGTGGGGAGTTGGAAGGAGCTACTCCAAAAAATGACCTTTTCATCCTCATGCAGGTTGTGCTGCTGGGAAAATACAATGCACAAGGCCTAGGCTCAGATCACGAGTTAATGCTGAGGTGCACCAGAGGACAAGAGTATGTCAAAGTCGTCATGCAGAATGGACGCATGATGGGAGCTGTCTTAATTGGTGAAACTGATTTAGAGGAAACATTTGAAAATTTAATTTTAAACCAGATGGACCTTTCATCATACGGAGAGGATCTCCTAGATCCAGATATCGACATAGAGGATTATTTTGACTGACATTAGAATTTCTTCAGGAATAGTAAGTTCAAAATAAGGAAAAAAGAAACAAATTGGAAAAACTAACGCCTGCACCAAGTGAATGGCCCCACAAATCAAGAATGCAGAAGCTAGATTCCTGGTTGGAAGGAGTCATGAACTTTCACAGTGAACTCAGTTTAATGACTAATTAGCAGGTGAACATTCCTGATACAGAATTGACAATAAACCTTGATTCACACAAATGCACCTGTGTACCAGATCCTTCTTTGAACATCAGAGTAAGGCCAGGGCTTCAGGAGGCTTGCTGTCTTGATTTACTTAGAACATGCCGAGTCTTCTTGCTGACACCCTTGGTACTGGTGACTGACTGTTTTCATCTGAGCTAAAACAGCAGCTCTTCCGGTCAGACATCATCTGCATTGCTCAGCCTAAAATGGCACCATCTTGGAAGGGTGAGCCTATGTCAGCATGGTATTGCTTTAAAGGGAGTCACACCAGAAAACTAGCTAGTCACAGCAAGGCAAATGAGCTTATGACACTTACATGGACTTAATCTCAAATATATCACTTAGACAACTTTGCATAAAAGATGTATTTTTCATTATTGTATACTGTAAAATATAATTCCTGACCTCAAATTTTCAAATGATCCTGAATATCTTCAGATAAGCTCTGAATATATAACTTTATATGTATAAAATACAAAATTGTTTCAAAAATTAAGCATAAAAATGGTCTAGACATAAATAATGTAAACAGTCATTTTGTGCAAGATTAAGTGACACTCAGGCATCATCCAGCTTCCTTTTCTTAGCCCCAGACGGCTGAATCCTGTTTGTGGACTTCTGGACGTCCCTTTTCTCCTCGGCATGCTCCGACGCTCCAGATGACGCAGCCTGCAGCAGAATGACAAAGCAGCACCTGTTAAGGAAGCTCTGCTGATCAGCTTTCTTGTGAGCCTTCCAGTCTCAGAATTCCCCTTGTGTATCAGTCAGTTCCTATCTACAAATTTCTATTCAAATATGGGCAACTGTCTTAAATAAAACAGGGATATTGTAAATTAAAACAAAACAAAAAAAAAAACCAGAGAGGACATGCAGTTACCTGAGGCTGCTGCAGCACAGACTCGATGGTGGCTAGCAGCCTCTGGAGGACACACTTTATGTTTTTTAAAAATTGATTATTTATTTATTGTTTACATATATGCACACCATGGGGGTCAGAGAACAGCACACAGGAGTAAGAGAATGTCTCCTCCATTAAAGGCCGGCTCACAGGAATCAGTTCCAGGGATGAAGCTCAGGCTGACAGGGACAGCAGAAAGGACTTTTATCACTAAGCCATCTTGCTGAATCCAGCAGAGACTTCTTAACCAGAGGATCCCACCCAGTATTATCAGGGAAGCATTTCACAGAATTAAATTTAAACTGCAGCCCTCTGACTCCTACAATGGGCCAGTCTAAAGCCCTCCACTACTTATCTGTCCAAAATCAAAACCCAGGAAGAAAACTGATAACATTTGTGTCCAACCAAACCTAGTAGAGACCTTGAGGAAGACTGTGTAAAAGCTGGAGTCATCATAAGCTACAGAGACTTAAGGCACATTGAAAATGAAGAGTTACCCTGGCGCCGCTCTGTGTGGACTTCCTCACTTGCATTGTAACAGCATGGGCGTCGCTGCTGAGAAGACTAGCTCTGGGTCCCACTTTCAGATACGAGATGGTGGCGTAAGCTGTGAAACTGTAGTCTTCTCTGTAAAAGAAAGGAGTCAAGCAGAAAGCTTGAAGGAGCCATAGGAAACACTTTTAGAAGAGTATAATTTTAAAAAAATATACTACAACACAAATATAATCCTTAAGGAAAATAAGTTGGGCTTTTGAGGGGGGGCATGGTTTTTTTTTTTTTTAAACTTTTCTGACTTCATAATCAAGGTCTAAGATTATTAGGTATATTGTTTTCTATATGCTTAAGAGTTCACATCAAATAACTGCAGTTGCTGACTCTGCTCCAGTTAGGAGTCAAGGGAAGAAACATGAAGACACAGAAGACAGATGGCTGTGTACTTGAGATACTGCTGCAGGAGAGCATGTGCGATGATTTTCTCCAGGTCTTCCCGGGGAAGGACCGGGGCTACAACACCAGCCACTCTCAACTTGGCTGCTCCCTTTCCCATCCAAGAATCGATGAGCTTCAGTGGAGTGAGCTTTTCATTCAGTGCCTCTGCCTGCTGCAGGATCTTGACCAGGTCTCGGCAGTGCTGTGTTACATTCCTTTTCTCAGACACTGCAAGGACAGAGAACAATGGCAACAGCTGAAGTTACACTGTGAGCCCTTTACACAAACTTCTTTTTGTATGCTTAGAATTAAGACACGATGATCCTTATCATAGAATAAATTCTACTCCTAAAAGTCATGTAGGGATCATGGCAATGTAAAGGTGACCTGGTTGTCAAAGGCTGCAGCATGCTCCAGACATCACTGGGAGGTGTGCACTGCAGAGAAAGCCTGCTCTTTCTTATCTGATGCTGCAATTACACCACACTCTGAAAGCCAGTCTGGGCTCCGAGGGAATGTTCTGGATAGAAGTCCTCAAATACTACACTAGCATCCTGACTTACACATAAGGTTCACACGAGTTTGGCCTCTATAAGACAGTCTTGTGAACTGGCAAATTAGTGTCTGTAGCTGTCAAGTTAAAAGTGCAGAGAACTCTACCCACTGAAGCACCAGAACCCAGGGTCCTCCCATGAGAACTGCTAGGTCCAGCTTTTCAAGGATACAGCACAGACCAGAAGTTAAAACAGCACCAGGACACAAGTTCCTGTATGTATTGTATCAAGAACAGAGACTATGCAGTACTACAGACTGTCATGGCATTAGCCTTTTCTTATGTTACAGAATTTCTATCCAGAGGAATTCTAATTTTTCCTTATTTCCTAAAACCTTAACGTCCTCAGTATAGTAATATAATATGTGTGCATATACATTTGACTTACCTTTGTATCATTTTTAAATCTAGAAAATTCTAGTCATAGTTTGTCTTTTAATTCTATATGGAGGCACTAACCCTTCCCACATTTAGCCCGCGCTGCACTGAGGGTCTAAGAGTCTAAGTAAATAGCAAGCTTACAAATGTCTTTGCAGCAGCTGTCACACATTTTGTTACAGGCATCTGCATTCCACACTTCATCGAAATGTTGTGCTATCAACACACGCCGGCACCTGCAGACACGAGAGGGAGAATCACTCATCACTCAAGCCTTCAGGACCTGCTCCAGAGGAGCGCATGTGCATGGCTGTCCTGCGGTCACAACAGCACAGATGTGGTGGCTCGGGCAGTGCAAGTGTGCTATCTCATCTTCGTATAAAAGTCTCACAGGGTCAAAGTCAAAGTGGGGGCAGACTGGATACTTCTGGAAGCCCTAACCTCAGCCTTTAACACTGTCTAGAGCTTGCCCACACTCCTTGGTTCCTGGTCCCATCTGCCTTCAGAGCCATCAACTGTGGCTTCTCCCATCACAACTGACCTCTTTGTCCACTTACAGACCCCTGTGTTTACAATGGACCCATCCAGGGAGTCTCAGGAGACTCCTACTTTCCCAGCAGTATGCTGACAACCATCACTTCAAAAGTCACCGGTCTCACTTTGAGGAGAATGTTTTGATAATGAAGTAGTTTCTTATATTTTAGGCTAAATCTGAAAACAGTCTTCATAGGAGTCTCCTATGACAAAGAAATTCTCACTTTCTCCTTCCCTGTGACCACTGCAGCATCAGTTGGAAAGTAAATGTGGTTTTTATCACTGGCAGGTCACTGTTTACTTGGACACTTCTGAGCTCTTTTGTGACAAGTATTAAAGACACAGGATGTTCTCGGCCCTGGGGCCCCAAGGAAGCCGAGAGCTGTAAGCAGAGACTGCCATGTATTTCCTAATGAGAAACTTGACCCCACCCTGGCTTATTCAGTGACTCATCACCAGGGTGAATGGACATGCCTGAACTTACCTCCCCAATGCCTATCTTCCCACACGCCCTTCCATAATCTCTACAGGCAACAACACACCAGATCCAAAGGAAAAACTCCTCATTCATAGCCTTCAATAGACTTGAAGGAGGACCTCAAAAACGGACAGAGCCTCTTTTCTCAGAGGAGGGCAGTCAGGGGTCCAGGTCTCTGCCATTACAGTGTTCTGTGCTAACAGCGGTGCATTCAGTAGGTACTCGACGACCACACGACATATGACATGCTACATACAGGAAGGCACGTGGCTCACTTGCTTATATTCTGGCAGTATGACACCATCTCGTACAACTTCTGCTGCCCTACATTCTCCATGACCACCATCGAGCTGATCCTGAATATGTCTCCAAAGCCGTAATACAGAATACAGTCTGCTCTCGAGTCATCGCGACCTGTGCTTTGAGGAATCCTCAGTTTGCATCATTGCTTTCAAAAATCCGTAACATGAAAAAGTATACGTCAATTGCTGACAGAGCTTCACAATACAGCTAGACATTTTTAGATATCTGTAAGAGCTACCCTGAGGGTTTGAAATGACTACAAAGAGGATCATCAAAAATCAGCTTATTAATGTAGAAAAACGAATGTTCACGAACAGTTCATTTATAGGTTGTACATGTGAACCTACTAATTAAAACTCCAAGTGGTCGACATGAACATCACAATAGTTTACAACACATAATAAACCATTTTTAATATTCCAACAGAAGGTGTGTAAGTAAGTATAAATCTGGATTTTAAAAAACTTGTTCTAAAAATTACTACCTAAAAACAAGCATTGAAAACTCAGAATTCTCAAGTATGTCCTCTGCCAACTCTCCTAAGATTATTTCTGGATTAGACCCTTACATACCAGCACGGCCACTCTCTTGGTAGTAATTCTCCATGGATTTGCTCATTGAATGGTGGATGACGAACCTCACATCTGGCTTATCAATTCCCATGCCAAATGCAACTGTAGCCACGACCACCTAAAATGTGTTAATACTTGGTTAGTTAATTGAGTCATTTAACTATTGTTAAAGGTAAGTTAGGCATTCATAGAAAATACATATACTTAACCTGAAGTTCATTGGCTGACCACCGAGTATGAACCTTGGTCTTATCTTCGGGTTCCATATTGGCATGGTAAGTTCCTGCATGAATTCCCAATTTTTGTAAACTAATCGTAACTTGTTCAGAGTCTTTCTGAGAAAAACAGTATATGATTCCTGCAGTAAAACATGGTCAAGTATTAGGTTCGTATGCACAGCATATTCTTAGTTAATCAGAACCATGCTCAAGACAAGTGATTTGTCCCAAGGCAGAAAGGGAAATGAGTCACAAAGGCCCCAAGCCCCTGTGCACATACTGACTGTTGGGTATAATCAACGTTTGGTGCTTGCCTTAAGCAGAAATGAACCCTGCACCACCAGCCGGGGTTCCCATGACCAAAAGAGGGTGTCTCTGCAACTTTATCCCCACTACACAGCACTTCTTAAACTCTGTGAGATGCTGGAAAATTGAAGAATCTGCTCATTTGGCTAAAGCACCTTTTTTTGCATCTTGGGGCGGGGGTAACAGTCCGTGTGTAGGCAGGCCCTCGGAGAGGGACAGACACCTGCAGCCTCTCTCAGACTTGACTCAGGAATTCCTTTTCCCAGACACCATTATGCTCTCCTAACCAGAGGACAGTGCTGAAGAGCCGCTGGGCTGTAGTCCTTTGCTCTGAGACGCAGGACAGATGTTCCTAACTTCACCTTGCTTTACCTGGTAAGTATGTACATGGCCCTTTCTGCAAGGTACTGTGTCTTCTCTCTCTCCAGAACATTGCTGCTCACTCAGGAAGTACAGGACAGATACTAACGTGTCAACAACACTGTCACTGGACCTATTCCACAGCAGGCAAGGCAGGCAGCTTTGACTCCCACTATGGCAGGGATGATACACACAGCTAGTGACCAAATGGATGGATTTGATCTCATTTTCAGGTATCAGTCATGCATCACTAGAGGGATTTATGCCATTTCATAAATGGACTCTCAGCCCCCAAGCTGATTTGTTTTTAACATTACCTGATTGCCCTTTGTACCGTCCATTAATGAGCTTTACAATGTCCTCAATAAAGTCATCAGCATTCGAGGGCTTTTGTCGAACCTAGAAAAGCAGGCTCATTAAGAAGTGGATTCACCAGTGCCACCCAAGTTGTGCCTGCTTACAGCCTCTGAGGTGTGAGTCCCTCATGGGAAGTATCCCTTCCTGGCCTCACAGGATGCGCCCGCCTGACCCATTCCTGCCTCTGCCCACCCTCTCTTCTTCATTTTCAGTCTCTGGTGTGTCAGAGATGAGGAAGCAAAGAAACAGCAGGTAACTTGTGAAGATGGATGCTGTTCTATTGCCTGATGCTTTAATAAAAACATGAAGCATAGTATGGAAGCAATGAAATGAAAACAAAATCTGTCCTTATAATCAGAAAGCCACTGGAATATCTTACCTTCCAGAGTAAGTATCAGATAAAACCCACATGGGAAATACTAGCGAACTCATTAGTATGTATGTATGTTTCTATTACTTAGTTACACGGATGTCAGTTGGGCTCTTGGTTTCACACCCTCCTTGTTCTCAAGCATTTTACAAGAAAGAATCTAACAAATATACCGCCACTTGCTCAAACTGTTTATAAAAGACAGTATCACTTAATGCAGAATTATTTTCTGTTTGGCCTATGTGAATTATGCTGCACACGACAGAGATAAACTAAAGCAGCAATGGATGTCCTGACAATTACCTCTTGACATTAAAATGCTTATACTGTCATTATGGAAGAAAGCACAATGAAGTGTAGCCTCTGCATACCTCATAATAAAGATTTGGCCGATTGAAAGATGCTGTGAAAATCAAACACTTATCCACACACAGGATTTTCTGTGCATCCTTCAAAACATGGTTGGTTGCTGTTGCGGTCAGCCCAATCAGTGAGGTGTTGGGAAACTGGCGCTTCAAGATGCCAAGTGCCTTATAATCTGAAAAAGATGACATGGTCTGTCTCTCTCTGAACCCTCAGAGAAGGCGAGCACAGGCGCCCAGTTTCACTTGCAGAGTTAGCTATAACTAAGTTTGCAGGACCTGCCACTCTCCTTGAATTCAGAGATTTTACTGCGTTTTCTTCATAAATAATAATAATTTCTTTACAGAGGTCAAATTAATGCCCTTTTAAAAGCAGGTGTTGTACAGATAGTTCCTCTTGACTGAAATATTTCTGGGAGGTCATTCAGGTTTCAGAAACTCGCATGATGGAAGAGGTCTCTGTGACGTCATACATGACAATAACATGACAATAAACAATTACTGGGAGGGGGGAGCCTCTCCATTAGTGTACCTGCCAGTAAGTCCTACCCAGGAGCCCTGCTGGAGACAGACACCAGAACTTTAGCCGGTAAGCCACAGCCATGTGGCAATTAAAAGAAATGGGTTAAATTAATATGTAAGAGTTAGCCAATAAGAAGCCAAAGCTAATGGGCGAAGCAGTGATTTAATTAATACAGTTTCTGTGTAATTATTTTCGGAACTGCTGAGCAGCCGGGAACCAACAAGCAGCCTCCATACTACACTTCACCATTGAACTACCTCCTTAGCCAAGATTTTTTTAAGAAGATAATGATGAGTAACTTTCTCTAGGATGACTACAGGTTTGGCAGCTGAAGTACTACTAAAATGTCTCATCAATTTTAATTGCTCCAAGTTGGGTGGGATACTGGAAAACCCAGAAAAATAAGAATACCTTTAAAATGCTGCAAATTCCTCAATAAATAGGGAAAAATGAAGACGGGGTCTGGAATGCTAGACATGTTGAATGGTCTAGAAAGCAGTTATCTCGCAGTCTAAGGTGGGAGGCTGCCGCATTGAGGCTGAGGAAATGGGTACCCATCACAAGAGGGGAGAATTTCAACAGAGCAGGTGCTATGCCGAACTGAGCGAGAACCGGTGCAAAGATGCATACCAGGCCTGAAGTCATGTCCCCACTGACTGCAACAGTGCACCTCATCCACTGCGATGCGAGTCAGCCTTCCAGCTTCGTAGGCTTTCTCTAGTCTTGACATGAACATCTTGCTTTTTGCAATTTTCTCTGGAGTCACATAAATCAGCTTTAACTGGGAGTTTCTACTCACCATTTCAGAGTGAACCCATTTCACATGCTCCTATTAAAGACAAAACGGACACAAGCATTGTAGATGAGACTGGTGGACCATGACGCTAAGTGAAAATGGGTGCTCGTTGCTGAAAAGCAACTGTCTGGGGCTCTTCCTGAAGCAGATGCTGGCTCATTAAAACTGAAGCCACATCTCTAAGTGGCAGCTGGGCAAACAGTGTTCTAGTGACTCACTTGCTCCAGATGGCTGAAATAAAATCAGTCACTTGGCAAATACGAGGAGGAAACATGAATGTGACAAGACGCTCCAATAAGGAAAGTGTACGATTTTAAATTGTTAATAGAGCCAAAATGTGAACCAAGTACAATAGCTGTAGCCATCATGGTAGGTTTTACAAGTTCACTCACTACATTTATAATTATACACCCAAGAACAAAAGTATTTATTTTTTTAATTATAGCTATTTTAATGGAGTTATCAAATACTTACTTAACTAGAGACTCTTGGGTTCACTCACCGCTCCACACTCTATAGTATCAGTACTCTAGACAGAACATAGTCAGTGCCGCACTCACTCTCTCTTTTCTCTTCAGGAGAGGTATGCATGAGGTATGCTGAGTAAGATGGCCCAGCAGGCAAAGGAGTCTGTGCCAAACCTGAGAACCTGAGTTTGATCCTCCAGAAACACGCGGCAGCAGGAGAGTGACTCCTGCAAGCTGCCTTCTGACCTCCACGTATGTGTGCACTGTGGCATGCTCATGCCCTACTCCACTGACACACAAAAGTGAAAGACAAAACAAGAGCGGTATACACTCAAAACTTTCCAGTTGAAACATGAGGCCTTGGCTTTGTTCATATGACTAAATCAAGGGGTTAAGAGTATAGATAAAGAATGGCAACTATACAGCAACATTGTTTTCCATTTTTTTACTATTGACACTAATTTGTGTATTCTTAAAGAGTTTGAGAATAGAATTTACAAACAACAGCTTGGAAGTGGTCTGTCCTTATAGATTAGGGTAAGATGGTCCATCACCACACACATATGTGTTGTAACTCATTTTCTGTATTAAACTAGATTAAAGGTTCTGCTGTGTGTGTGTGTGCAGGTGTGCGGGTGTGTGCGGGTGTGTGTGTGGTGTATGCATGTGTAGACATTTACACATTGCCAACATCAGAAGTCAGAGTGAAGTTTCCACTTCAACACTCCCCATTTTATTTTTTAAGACAGTCTCTCACTAAACCTTGAGCTCATCAATTAGACTAGGCTTAGCCAGCCAGCCAGCTCCAGGAATCCCCGTCTCCACCTCCCCAGCTCCAGGACTACATGTGGGAGCCTCTATGACTAGTTTTACACAGGTCCAGGAATTAAATTCAGGCTGCCCTCACTGTCCCCACAGAACCACCTCCCAGTCCCTCCTTGCTCTTTTATAGTACATAACACAAAACATGTTAGCAAATGTTTCCTATGAAGTGCTAGACAGGAGGAGTCTGTCACGTGGACTGCGCATTCTCCATGCACACTCAACTCTGAGCTGCTACACAAGTGAAGCAGTGAGAGAATGAGCACGCGTGAAGCAGTGAGAATGAGCACGCATGAAGCAGTGTGTAAGAGAATGAGCACGCGTGAAGCAGTGTGTAAGAGAATGAGCACGCGTGAAGCAGTGTGTAAGAGAATGAGCACGCG